ACACACACACACACACACACACACACACACACACACACACACACACACACACTTTCCCCTAGATGTTTATCATGAACTGGCATGTCCATCTAGAGTTTCAGTTCTCAAAATGTCAAAATGTAGCCTGTGCATTCCCAGGGATCCCTAAAACCATCCCATACAAGGTCAAAAACTACCTTCCTTATAAAGCTGTTGTATAACCTTCCTTTTAGCCATGTTGACACGTACATGAATGGTGCTAAGTGGCAGTGGGAAAACTGCAGGTTTAGTGGTATAGGTCAAAGCAATAGCCTCAAACTCTATACTGTTCACCACATTCATCACAGCCACATACACTAGCAATAAATGATGTTTCCACTTGAGAATATCAATACAAAATGATTGATGTTATTAAACCTAACTGTCAAGCGCCATCTTCTCAATATGGGAATTGGATGGGAAACTCTCGCCACACATATGACACTGGTCTCGAAGGGCTCTGTGTGGTAGAGCTGGAAGCTGAGCTTGTTGCTTTTGTCATTCTTCTTATATAAAGCAAAAGAACTAATGACAAAGTCTAGGTATTAAAAATGGCTATTTGGAGAATATTTTTAATACACAGCAAAGAAAGGATGCAGGGATGACAGTGCAGCAGTAATCCTTACAAAATATCAGAAGTGAAAGAGAAGCAGAGGAGAGCTCTGAATGGGCAGGCTGATGAGCTCAGCAATGGCATTAACAAATGTGGAGACTCAATGAGAAGATGTTTCCCAAATGACCTGTGCATCCTGTCACAGAGTCCTTCATGGGTGAAAGGTTCATTCCAAACATAACATAGACGGATGGATTTTAAAGTGATAGAACAGAAAAGGGTCACTGAAATAATTTTAGATTGCATGCGGCAGCAATCCTTATCTGAAAGCTTGATTTTTAGTCTAGTAGCAAATAATACCCAAAATTATTTGATCAAGACCATTAAAATACTCTGCAGCATGTCTGCATGTTCTAAAACTTCAATTACTCATTGAAGGATGAGTAAAGAAACAGATATGAAAACCTAGCTGTCTCCTCAAAATCCAGACAGTCAAGTCAATGTCTTCATTCTCACTAATGGCTTATGGTTGGAAAACAGTTATTTTCTATAAGAGCATGTTAACCTGGGATGAACTTCCTATGTCATTTTCAACAAAATAAATATTCTTACATTTTCTAATAAGATACATTGCTTAAATTGCTAGTGTGGTCAACAACTGTGGATGGAAACGAGCACTTCCTAGGGTCCCTGAAAGTCAAGAGTAAGGTGTTGTGGAGCAGTGTGTGCACTGCTCAGTCAAACACTGTGCACACAGAACTATGTTCTGCCTGCTACTATCAAGCACCATCTCACTTGGAAGTGTTGACATTTCACTGACCATTCCATATTGCTGGCATGCTACAGGGCAACCAGAAATTGCAAAACACCATTAAAAAGGGGGTGGATGAGATCATGTGATTTCACAAAGGAAAATAAAAATAAAAGCAGAGAAAAAGATAATTTAGCAAAACCCCAAACAGTAAGGGCTCTGCTGCTCTTCTGTCAGAGCACACAGTACCCATAGAAGCCACGTCCTTGGTGGGCCTGGTGTCAGCTCTCGGGAGTAAGTGGACGCTCAGCTATTGAGGATGCAATAAAATCCTGTTTATTCACACATGGAAGAGAAAGCCATGTCCAGATTGCTACAGAAGCCCAGCCACCAGCCTCGAGCTCTGCAACACTGCTCCAGCTATTCTGCAGGATGTTATTACCAAACAGACTTGTCATTCAAATGACATAAAGCAGGGTTGGGAATGGGACTATGAAACAGGTCTGAATTTAAACAGGAAAATATAGTGATAAGAAAATGACCACACAAACAAGCTGTTACACAGTTATTTGTGTATACACACACATAGTCTACTCCCTTTCCTTCCCCTGCAAGTGTATAAAAATCTACCTACTTACACAAGTGTACACATGGGCTCACCATGCCTCAATTTGGCACAGAGTCAGATATACAATAAATTACATTTAATGCAAAATTATTAGAATTGTAGAATACACTTTAAAATATACATAATATGAAATATTACTAGAAAACAGAGCAAACACAATATATTTGATATTTTTATCACATAAAATTCTTGGATTTCAAAAAAATAATACTTCAAACATTCAGAGTAATGTGTAACATGAGTAATTTATGTTTCTCTACTGTGTATTCTTCATGAAAGCAAAGTTAAGATTAAAATACATGAAATTCACACGGATGAAATCATTCAAGTTCTGTTTGATTTGGTCTATTTTTTCTGTGCTGGAACTTATGCCTTAAAGCCTCTGCTTTTAAACACATGACACCCAGCTGGATTCAATCACATACGCATGTCTCAGGGGTTATTTACTATAAGCTTATTCTCTGATATGTAGACCTAACTCTCTGGCCCTAGAAACAGCCTGCTCTCCTTCCATCCACAGATAATGCACAGATACATCTATGCAGACATACAAGCTAGAATAATTTTCTCAGTGTGGCACAGCACTCTCTACTAAGAATGACTGGCACAGAGTAAGGAACTGATTTCACGGCTGCCTTCATCAGACCCGACTCCACATGGTCCTTGTTACAGAGCAGGAAGGGATGGCCGAGGACATCCATGCTACCCCCATGGAGAGAGGTTCCCTAGAACTCGTGCCTTGCTGTCAGAGGGCAATCAGCAGGCCTGTGTGTTAGGGTGTCTGCCCCCTGACAGCCCTCCACTCTTCTTTCCCTCTGCCGTCTCTCACCCGGGCCACCTTTATTTCTTTGACACCCTTGAACTGTGACCTACAAGCCTTAATTTCCCTGGATAACTTCTCAAGCATTCCTCTGTAAAGAACCTGGTACCCACAGTCTTTGCACACAGTACTTGGTTTGTCATTGGTTATGTGTGTCATTTACAAGTATGTGAGTGGTTATTCTAAGGTCCTAAGTCAAAGACATGCATGTCTTTTAACTTTGTCCACAAAATTTTCAAATTATGCTCTGATGTCCCTTCATTCATGTATCCCTAAAGTCACAGTGTCCATTCTTTGATCTACTTAAACTAGTAATTCTTCATTCACAAAACAGTTACTACTCTAGACACTGTGCTGGGTGTGGGAAATACTTTTTTTTAAAGTCACATATAGTAGCCCCTGAACAGAAAGCTGCAGTTACATAATTCAATTAAATGCATTCTGCTTAGTGGGGAGAAAATTCACACAAGTGTGAAATTATTTAGAAAGCAGAAAGAGGATGAAAATCATTTAGTCTATCTAGTAGGTAAACTGTAACTTCCTTTCAAGAATATTTAGCTATTTACCATCAACCAGTGGTCATGTTCTATTTCACTGGAGAAATCGCAGCAGAAAAGTAAGAGAAAAGAGTCTGGGACCCTTAAGAATCAGATGACATCACAGTCCCCTCATAGCACATGAATAAAACTCTACAGAATTCAATCAGAAAGGTAGCCATTTTTTAAATTCAAAAGGCAACATTTGGTTTGAATTACAGGATGAATGAAGAGGAGGCCTTCTGTCTGCTGTGAAAAGCAAGGCTGCTAACACCTACCCTGCCCAACAGTACCCTGTATGTCACACTCACATCTCAACTAAAAATTAAAGTGTTTACACTTGAGCATTTTATTCAATTTTGGGGAAAACTCTACTACTGAAATTCTTCTCCAGTAGAACACTGATTTCAATGATCCTCTGAAGAAGGCCAATGGTATTTGGGAACTCCTTGGATGGCAGTGCTTTCTGTCCTGACTCTCACTTCCAGCCCCAGGTCATTCTCCATACCTGTGTGGCTCCGGATGTGAACTCTCAGGGTCCCACTGCTGGCGAATTTCTGGCCACAATATGGGCAGACTTTCTCCTTTTCTCCTGTGTGTGTCTAAACAGGAATAAAAATGGTTGATGATAAATACAAAGGCTTTAGTAAAGATGATTAAGTACCTCTGACGATAGTAAATCTGTATTTTCCAGGATTATGTTTCATTAAAATGATTTAATGTCACAATGCGACTTTAAACAATTTATCATGGATAATCCCATGGGTTCAAAGATCCCTTAGAAGCATGCATTAGTGTTAATTTGAAAATAATTCTGCAGTTTACTGCTTAAGCCTTAATGGAATCATGTCTAACTAAACATGATTAAGTTATAGAAAACCAGTGCATGGAGCACAACCAGATAATCAAAACGGGGCCGGAGTTGCCCTTGACTGTTGCCAAGAAACATTTCCTTTGAATTGTTTTCCATATTCTTTGTGTGTATTTCACTCTAAAGGGCAGAATTAACCTCAAGAAAGTCATCTGTTACCTATGCTATGCTTGTCTGGACAGCTTTTACTACAAAACAGAAAGCATTACACATCTAATTTGGCCTAGAAAACCAGCAGGTGTTAATTGAGCAATCAATTAGAGAGAGAATCTCTGTCCTCCCCATACTTACTATCTAGGCACAAAATAATCACACTAGAAAAAGAGAAGGAACACCTGCAAAATACAATTCAGTGCTGGGATACTTGCCTATCATGCAGGAGGCTCTGGGGTCAATCCCTGCCAAATAAATAAATAATCACCAGGCGGTGGTGGCACACGCCTTTAATCCCAGCACTCAGGAGGCATAGGCAGGCGGATCTCAGTGAGTTCGAGGCCAGCCTAGTCTACAGAACGATTTCCAGGACAGCCAAAGCTGTTACACAGAGAAACCCTATGTCAAAAAACCAAAATAATGATAATAATAATAAACAAACAAATGAAAATTGCCAAACAAAACTGCTGACAATTCTAGAAGGGAGGACAGAGAAAGTATGTTAAGGCCTCATATCTTCAACAGGAGACTAGTTTGTCTACCAACATTAAAAAAAAGAAAAAAATTCTATCATTCCAGTGAATGAGGAGTCATAGCAATCTGTAAAGTAGCAGGGTTTTTCAAACTTAGAACAACAACAACAACAAAAAAGTTGGTGGCTGAGGACTGTTACAAGGATCAGGAGGAAGCAATTACTTCAGGTATCTACCTACATGGTCTTTATAATATTGCTTTGAGAATATTTTCCAATAGTAGCCTGAAAATGGGTAAAAGCAGGTAATGTCTGATAATAGTTAATTATGGCCATCAAGTTAGTTGTTTTAAGAGTTGCTGAGGTTTGATTAGTGATGAAGACCGAAATGGGTGTGTGTAATGGCATTTCTGCAGACCATCAGATCATGAAGCCTCTGACCCAATCTAGAGATGGATTCAAATCTTATGGCCTTAATACTAGGTGGGGGAAAGGTCGGAGGTGGGGCCAGGCTGAAATGTGTCATTGGACAGTGTGTCCTTAAAAATATTTCTCGCCCAGGCTCTTGGTATTTTCCCTGCCTGCTTCCAGTCCACATTGAGGTGAAGAGGTTTTACCTGCCACTTGTTCGCACCACCAACATTGGAAACTTAACTGAATCTGTCATAAAATACCTTTGTCATTTTAAAGAGATTTAAAATGCATTTATTATAATGTATATTTATTTATGAAATATGAAAGTAAACTCAATTTGCTTGACATACTGATCTAATTAGCATAACACAAAAAAGGTAATCTTGAAATCACAAATGAAACTATTTCATATGAAGTCAATCAGTATCTGTCAAACTCCAGTTCCATAACAGGAAATCCCATGTGCCCTAGAATTCCAGTAAACACTTGAATTAGTTCTATAAAAACAACCTAGCCAGACGGTGGTGGTGCATGTCTTTAATCCCAGCACTTGGCCAGCATGGTCTATAGAGTGAATTCCAAGACAGCCAGAGTAACAGAGAAATCCTGCCTCAGAAATCCAAAACAAACAAACAAACCACCACAACAACAAAACAACCTACGTAAGGTTCTATTCATATTTTCAGAAGAAATCTTCTGTATTAAGTGAAAATGGTTAAAAGTGCACAGAATCTTACTAAACAGTTTCCAAGCCTTCCAATCAGTAAGGCTAAAGATAACACAAAGTATACATATAACTTTGAGGTTCTCATTTCATGGGAAAATATCTATTCTGAAAAATAGAGAAAACATCTATTTCTTGGATAGTGAATCTAACTGTATATTTGTCATTGTCAATAAGCATGTAATAAATTAATATAAAACTGTCACAAGATAGTCAATATATATGGCCATAATCCTTAACCTTACAATGCATTCTGTTTTGATGAGGCTCCCACTTACTTTCTTATGACTTCTAAGCACTGACGGCGTAACAAAGGCCTTATTGCACAGCTCACACCGGTACTTCTTGTGTCTTTCATGGACCACTTGAACATGAACATTTAATGTGTCCTTCCTTTTAAATGTTGCATCACAATGATGACATTTGAAAGTCCTTTCACCTTAGAAGACAAGTCAACAGTCAAGCCACATACACAGGATTTCACATTTCTTTGCATTTCTTTGCAAATAACAGATTTCCTAATTCTGATGTGCTACTTCTATCAGAATCTGTCTTAATTCTATCAGAACTTTGCCCAACATTAACACCTAGAATCTAGCCAGAGACTAGACTTGGTTTTCAGTGTACAGGGAAAGAGCAGAAATTTCCAAAGGAAGTAGACAAGTTGTTAACATTTTAGTCTATGGTAACAGCTTTCATGTCTCATAGTGAAACTAGCTGTACTGTTAGTGCACTGTGTGAAACAAGACCTAGTACTTCATTCTCTCTGCTTTAACCAGTTTGGTCTTCCTGCTCTTTTAACTCACTTGTAGTGGGTAGCCATTCCAACCTTGATCTGGAAGTTCCAACCCCCATTGAGGCTTCGGTAACCGTCACACCTACAAGGCGAGGCCAAGAGAGGACCCTGAAGACCCGAGATCCAGATGTGCCATCTCTCTTGGTTCCTGGACCCTGGACGCTGGAGGTAGACCGAGCAGAGGTCTCCAGAGAATACTGCCGGACTGTGCTACGTCTTTCCCAGACCCTGCAACCTACCTATCCCTTCATTTGTAAATAAACCTCCCTTTTAACTATGTGGAGTGGCCTTAATAATTTCACCAATATCTGGCACCCAACGTGGGGCACAACCCCACGACCCTGAGATTGAGAGTCTCATGCTCTACCGACTAGGCTAGCTTTGGATGACTGTCCAGGCTGCCAGCTGTCTCTGTCTACCCTGCAAGACTCCCAAAAGTTGCTTGCATCCTTCTCCTATTTCTCAGATAGTATTATATCCTTCTGAGGTCTTTGATGTAGTTGAAGACTAGTTATAATTTTCTTTAGTTATGATAAAAGATAAGTTAGATATGAAACTTTAGACTCACAAATAAGATAGATAGGGTATCTTCTTTAATTTTGCCAAATACAAATAGACTAGATATTGTAACTGTAATTCTTGCTAGATAACTGTTTTGGCATATGTAATTTTACTATATGAAAGTTAAAACCTTCCTTTAAAAAAAAAAAGAAAGAAAGAAAGAAAGAAAGAAAAGGGGAAGTGCTGTGGATATCGCTCTGTATAAATAAAATGCTAATTGGTCAGTAGCCAGGCAGGAAGTATAGGCTGGACAAGCAGAGAAGACAATTCTGGGAAGTGGAGGCTGAGGCAGGGACACAATGCCAGCCTCTGTGAGGAGAGGCAACATGTTAAGATACCAGTAAGCCACAAGCCACGTGGCAACTTACAGATTGATTAATAGAAATGGGTTAATTTAAGATATAAGAACAGTTAGCAAGAAGCCTGCTACGGTTTAAATAATATAAGCGTCTGTGTGTTTATTTTATAAGTGGGCTGTCGGACTGCCGGGACTTGGCGGGACCCAGAGAGAAAACTCTCTAGCTACACTCACTGGTCTTCACTGATGCCCCTGTCTGAGCCTTACATTGTTTACTTAGTCCCTAAAGTCTGAAGGTTGACTTTTCTGGCCCGATACCGCAGTACAGCTTCAGAAAGTCTCTTCTAGTGTAGCTCATCACCATTTCAGCTACAGAGCACATAGAACATTCTCACAAGCCACCTCAGTCCTTCCTCTAGAGCTGCTGAGAACCAAGAGGGTGACATCAGAAATATCATACTATGGATGTTACAAATTCATTGCTGTTATGTGAAATAAAATTTCATGTTTCCCATGATAAATTTCCTTAGCATCAAAACAAATTCAGCCACATGTTTTAACAGGATGAATGAAGTTCACTTGTCTAGTTGCCTATTCTAAAATTCATATATCTCTTAAGCTATCTAACGTAATACTTCCTGCTGTTGTGAAACAAATTTTATTCTTTAATGATGAAGTTGTTCTTTATGAGGAAATGGAAGTCAAGCTAAGCACTCTCCAGAGTGACTGACCTGGACTGGAAACACTGCCCTGTCTTTTCCTACAGGAAGCAGCTTCCTTTCTCATGATCATCACCACAATGTACAAAAGCTTAAGGCCTTTATTATTTTTTCATATTGGACCCTAACCTGAGCAGGGAAACCTTCTTGTGTACAGACAATTGCCACAATGCCTTGTATTTGGAATTTAATATTTATGCAGCAGTAGGAATGTTACACATACACTTTTTAAAAGATGTGCGTCTATGTAGAACATAATGAAAAACTTACCTACTAAAATAAGTACAGAAATCAGAAGTTTTACATGAAGTAGGAAAGGTGCCTGCCTGTCAGATATCTGTATGCAATGTCTAGAATCCCCTACATAAATGACTGTCAGACTCAACAATCTCAATTTCTACTTAAAAAGGTGTTGAATTAGATGTGTATTCTGACCCATTCCAATTTTAAGCCTGTGAGCTAATAAAACCATGACCTGTAACATAACTCCCAGTTTTATAGAGGCAGACAAGTTTCCTTAATCATCATAGGTAAAAGGGAATTAACGTCTGTGTTTCAAAACAATGGTCAAAGCATACTGAGTGTGGGATATCATTTTTACAAAACAAACTATAAATACTGGGAAGAGAAGATGTAAAATAAAGTATCTCATAAAATGATTAATGGTTCTTTAAGAAACAAGGCAATCTGCTTCTTTATGCTTTAAACAGACTGTCTAACAATTCACAGTGCACATCTGTGATGTCTACATTCTGAAAGGGCCTAAGGACACAGTGGGAAGTAACTCTATCTGTCCTCAGCTGCCCGGATTGTGACTTACTGTTGTGGATTAACAGGTGTCTTTGCAGAGAAAATGGGGTGCGGAACAAGGCTTTACATTCGTCACATTGAAATGGTCTCTCCTCAGAGTGGGTCTGCAGAAGAAAGACAGTGGGGAAAGGGAGAATGAGGTCATCACTACAGAAAGCAAACAGCATCTTATTTCTTCTCAGAAATCTCTGCTATGGAGGAGGAAGAAAAGCAAAACCATATGCATTCACAGGAAAGAAATACGTGTTCTGTCAAACTCTCAAATTCATTAGAAATTCAATAAATAGCAAAGGTAATTGTTATTACTACCTCAAATTGCTAATCTAAACACACAGGGAGATTTTGTAAAAACTACTTCGTAGACCAACATGGTGTATTGTTTTGTCTAGTGTACAGTTAGCCCTAAGGGGCACTTGCCAGGATTGTTCATTTTCCATAGAGGCAAGAGAAACAGTTCACAGGACATGGTCTCCACCCTTTCCCTAAAACCTCACTGACATATTTAAAGAGACCCAATCCTCAGGACTGTTTAGTGTTTAAGTTACAAGAGTATGGGCTCATATGGTTAACCCGGGGTAGCATTCATTAAATACTTTGTATCAAATGTCATGCTAAATACTGTAAAGGAATTGATGAATCCCAAAAGCCAAGTACCTGATTTAAATGGTATTACTGACAGCATTTTAAGATGAAAAAAAGTGCAGATTGGCCAGAGATGTGGGTGTTATAAAGGTCTATGGCACACAACAAACAAACGAGCATTGAAATGATCCACAGAAGCTTAAACCAGTTTGGCACAAACTGTGAATAAAATCTTATTCTATACTATGGATGACAAGGTTTATTTATTTACATTTTAAAATTTTATTTTATGTGTATGTATGTTTTGCCTGCATGTGTACCACCTACACACCTGGCGCCTGCAGAGACCAGGAAAGGGCACTGAATCTCCTGGAACTGAAGTTACAAATGATTATAAACTGCCACGTAGGTGCTGAAAACTGAACCCAGGTCTCTCTACAGGAAGAGCAAGTGCTCTTAACTGCTGAGCCATCTCTCCAGCTCCAGTTGGCAAAATTTAACAAGGTTCACAAATACATATTTAAAACCCAAAATTTAGCAAGGTTCACAAATACATTTTTAAAACCCTCAAAAGTTCAACAATATCCTGTGGTGGTAATCTAATTGTACTGAAATGTGATTTTGAATGTATGTTAATAAATAAAGTTGCCCGGGGGTCAGAGCTATTAGAGCCATAGCAAGAGTGTG